AGTGGTTGGAGGAAATAGCAAAAGCAGATGAATGAGATGATAAAGGAATAGTCCCATAGATGGAAAAGAAACCAGAACTAGTGAAAGACCCAAGAATGCTGGGGTTTTCCTCTGGACTAATGATAAGAGAATGAAAAAAGCGGTCTATGCGTAAGTGCAAACTGGCCTTTCAGAGAGAGCAAGAGGAGAGCTTCCCCAAGGACCCCTCTGAAGAAACCCCCAGGACCTCTCCCTCTCTCCCTGCAGGATTTTGACATTGCTGGGCAATTTGACCCCATGATCCCTGATGCAGAGTGCCTGAAGATCATGTGTGAGATCCTGAGTTCACTTCAGATCGGGGACTTCCTGGTCAAGGTCAGAACTGGACAAGGCTGGGAGGGAAAGTTAGGCCTGGTCTCTCCCGGGAGAAGGTCTTCGTGCAGAGGGACCAGTAGCCTAAGTGGCCAGAGCTATGAAGGGCCACGTAAAGAGATGCTTTGGGTCCCTCCAGGTGAACGATCGGCGCATCCTAGACGGGATGTTTGCCGTCTGTGGGGTTCCTGATAGCAAGTTCCGTACCATCTGCTCGTCAGTGGACAAGCTGGACAAGGTAACGACCGGAACAGCTGGCTCCTTTATTCCCAGACCCCACCCTGCCTGGAGAAATGGAAAACAACAGGAAGGGGGGCGGGACTGCCTCTGTGCCCACCAGGGGGAAATTAGCCTGAGGATGGAGGTTGAAGGGCAGTTTCTGCCCCACGACTGCCCCCTGAGGAGGGCCCGTACTTGTTCTGTGGTGGGGAAGGTGCCTGAGGGTCCCTGACCGCTCTGTCTGCCCAGGTGCCCTGGGAGGAGGTAAAGAATGAGATGGTGGGAGAGAAGGGCCTCGCACCGGAGGTGGCTGACCGCATTGGGGACTACGTCCAGCAGCATGGTGAGGAATGAACCTCCTCGCCATCAGCATCCCACTGCCCTCAATCCTAAAGCTGGAGCTCTTCTCTGTGTGTGTGTGTGTGTGTGTGTGTGTGAGAGAGAGAGAGAGAGAAAGAGAATGGGGGAGAGACAAAGAAGTGGGAAGTGGGCGGGGAGTGGGGGGAACACACATACATGTACAGTCCAGGCAAAAAGATAGACCCCCTACTTTTTTCTTCCGATCAGTCATTCTTGCTTGCAAATCTGTCTCCCAGGTGGGGTGTCCCTGGTGGAACAGCTGCTCCAGGATCCTAAACTGTCTCAAAACAAGCAGGCCTTGGAAGGCCTGGGAGACCTGAAGCTGCTGTTTGAGTACTTGGCCCTGTTTGGCATTGCTGACAAGGCGAGTCGGGCTGGGGGTGGAGCCCTCGCTGTGCTCCGGGGCTTCAAGTCCTTGACCCTCACCTGGTACTGACATGCTCTTGTCCCCACAGATCTCCTTCGACCTGAGCCTTGCTCGGGGGCTGGACTACTACACCGGAGTGATCTATGAGGCGGTGCTGCTCCAGACGGCAGCCCAGGCAGGGGAAGAGCCCCTGGGTGTGGGCAGCGTGGCCGCTGGAGGGCGCTACGATGGGCTGGTGGGCATGTTTGACCCCAAAGGGCGCAAGGTGCCGTGCGTGGGACTCAGCGTTGGTGTGGAGCGGATCTTCTCCATCGTGGAGCAGAGGCTAGAGGTGAGTACCAGACGGTCCGGGCAGGCGTGGCAGCTGAGCTGCCTTCTTTGATCCCCCGGGGGGTCACTTTGGGCAAGGAGCATCTTTACGGAGAAATGGAAAAAAGACGGACACTACCACATAGACTCCCACCCCATTATAGGACAGCTTTATGGATTTCTGATCATTCTTTTTTCACAAAATATCTTGTTCTGGGTCCCTTCTTCCCTCAGAGCTGTCAGGAACCTAGGCCGGTAAAATTTTTACAACAGCCTTTTGAAAGTAGCTACTTTTACTATCTTTAGAGAACTAAAGATTTCAGGTTTAATACCCCAAAGTGATGGTTCTTAAGTGACAGAGTCCATTTGAATCCAGGCAGTCTAACTGCAAAGTCCTGTCCCTAACCATGCTGTGATAGTCTGGGGCCCTGAGATCCCTAAGATGGCTGTCCTGACTCTAGCATCAAGAGGAACACCAGGCCTAAACCGGTTTGGCTCAGTGGACAGTGGATAGAGCGTCGGCCTGTAGACTGAAAAGTCCCCGGTTCGATTCCAGTTAAGGGCACATGCCTGCATTGTGGGTTCAATCCCCAGTTGAGGGTGTGCAGGAGGCAGCCAATAGATGATTCTCTCTCATAATTGATGTTCCTCTCTTCCTCTTCCTTTCTCTCTGAAATCAATAAAAATATTGGGGGGGGAGGGGAGAAAGAAAGAAACCCTGGAACCATCTCTCCCACTTGAGAGAGAGAGAGAGGGAGGGAGAGAGAGGGCCCTAACCGGTTTGGTTCAGTGGATAGGAAAAGGTCCCAGGTTCGATTCCAGTCAAGGGCATGTACCTTGGTTGCTCAGTAGGAGGTGTGCAGGAGGCAGCTGATCGATGTTTCTAACTCTCTATCCCTCTTCCTTCCTCTGTAAAAAATAAATAAAATATTAAAAAATAAAATAAAAAGAGAGTAACACCAGGGAAGCCCCTCATGGCCTCACGTGCACCTTTGTTGCTGCTGCTCTTAACTGTCCGGCTGCATTTCACCCCCTGGAGAAAGCTCTGCCGGTAGCTGTTCCATCCTTTTCTCTGGGTGGAAACCACCCGTTTCCCAATTAAGGTCACTTTCTGATAGGCATCTTATGTTGTAAGAACTATGGAAAAAGTTTTCCAGCTGAAACCGGTTTGGCTCAGTGGGTAGAGCGTCAGCCTGTGGACTGAAGGGTCCCAGGTTCGATTTCAGTCAAGGGCATGTACCTTGGTTGCGGGCACATCTCTAGTGTGGGGTGTGCAGAAGGCAGCTGATCGATTTTTCTCTCATTGATGTTTCTAACTCTATCCCTCTATTCCTCTCTGTAATAAATCAATAAAATATATATTTTTTAAAAAGACAAGGGGCAGCAGCAGCACCCTCCTACCCGATGAGCTGTACCCTCGACTGGCAGGTAGTAAGTGGGAACTAGAACTGCTAGGGCTGACTGGCTGATTGGATTTCCTGGTGGGCTCACAGTATCGCTTCTGTGTCACTGTTCTTGTGGGCCCTTAAGGTAGATGGAAACAAGCAAGAAGTTTCTTTTTTTTTTCTCCCTCTAAACCAAGCCCGCTTTATTGGAAATGCCCACATGCCACAAATGTTCGTGAAAATACCAAGATGTAGTTTAACACACACCCAGGGGCGGGCGCGGCAGACGGACAGTGTCCCCGACAGGTATTTAGCACCTGGTCACACACAGGTGGACCCACAGCCAGCCAGCCCCGGGGAGACCGCGGGGCTCAGCTGTCTGGTCAGTCACGCTGACGGGCAGTGGTGGGAGGCACGGCTGTGCCAGGGCTGGCAGTGCCCGAGGCCTGCAGGGTGTCACATTGTCTGTGCGCCCACCTGTGCCCTCCCGCAGGGGGCACAGCAGGGGCCGACAAGCAAGAAGTTTCTATAAATAAGCTACCTTTGCCCTTGCCCTAGGTCAGTGGTCGGCAAACTGCAGTTGATTAATGAGTTTGCCAACCACTGCCCTAGGTAATTGATCCTGGCATGTCAGATGTACAAGCTAGTCAGTTTATTTATTTTTTAAATATGTTTTTATTTATGTCAGAGAAAAAGGAAGAGGGAGGGAGGGAGAGAAATAGAGAATCATTGATTGACTGCCTCCTGCTTGAAACCTGGGCATGTGCCCTGACTGGGAATTGAACTGTGATCCCTCCTGGTTCATATATCAATGCTCAACCACTGAGCCACACTGGCCGGGCCCAGTCAATTTACTTCTTCTGGCATCTCAGAACTACCTTATGCCCAGGCGCTGCCTGAGAAGACTGGACCCCCCCCCCCCCCCCCCCCCCCCCCCCCCGATGGAGCTGGCAGAGTTGGGCTTGGTCTCAGGATCCTGACAAGGGCCTGCTCTCTTCACTCTTTGAAGGTGTTAAAAGGGCTAGCCCAGCTCTGACTTTTCTCTGCACCTTTCCCAGGCACTGGAGGAGAAGGTTCGGACTACAGAGACGCAGGTGCTTGTGGCATCCGCACAGAAGAAGCTGCTAGAGGAGAGGCTGAAGCTGGTCTCAGAGCTGTGGGATGCTGGGATCAAGGTACTGGAGGCAAGCCCCCGCGTGGCAGCAAACGGGAGTGCAGGGCACAGACTAAACGCAAGCTCACCCCGCTAGTCTGCGATTTCCCGGGGCGGAACTCAGAGCGAGGTGGCAGGTTGGGCCCCAGGAGGTTGACCCTGAGGGATGCAGAAGCCAGCCTTCACCTTCTGCCCGGGTCCCCGCAGGCTGAGCTGCTTTACAAGAAAAACCCCAAGTTACTGAACCAGCTGCAGTACTGTGAGGAGGCGGGCATCCCGCTAGTGGCCATCATCGGGGAGCAGGAGCTCAAGGACGGGGTCGTCAAGCTCCGTGCGGTGGCCAGCAGAGAGGAGGTGAGTAGGCGGGCAGGAAGGCTGAGGGAGAGGGAATGGATGCCATTTCAGCAGGCCGATGCCCAGTCCAGTACACTCTTGTAAGGGCTTTTAACCTGCTATTAGGATCCTGGTAGGGTAAGACATCCACCCGACAAGCCCCCTGTGTCTCTGGCTCCCCCAAGAAGCACTGTCCACCCTGGGTTCCTGCTCTCAGCTGAGCCAAACCTGTTGACCAGAGGAAGGAGTGGGCATGACACAGGGAGCAGTGGAATGGAAGCTGCTCATATCACTTTCTCCCCCATCCCCGCCAGGTGGATGTCCGAAGAGAAGACCTTGTGAAGGAAATCAAGAGGAGAACAAGCCAGCCCCCTTGCATCTGCTGAATGGAGCAAACTCTCAGAGGAAAGCGGACGGGCACTATTTAAGGCAAAGACAAAACTCTGCATATATCCTTCCACCTCTTCGCACGCTTCCAGTGGGAAACCTGAAGAGTGGTCAAAACAGAGACTTTTTATTTTTATTATTATTTTATTGATAATCACAGGTCATTTTACTGTGCCATTTCCATAGGAAGCCCTGGGAGCTCAGTCCCGCCTGGCTCCTAGGCTACAAGGACCAGGCCGAACTGGCCTTCTCTGCAGGGCCCCACACAGGAGGAGGCACTGCTCCCCACAACCCGTTGCCAAAGGTGCAATAAAATATCTCAACCACTGGTGCCCTGTCTGTGTCGCTAGAGCCAAGGCCTTCCTTCCCTGGCAGTCTGACCGCTCTGGCGGTGGGAAATGGGGAGAAAGACTTACAGCAGGCTCCTGCCCCGGGGTGAAGGGTGCCCCCTGCGTCCTTCTTCTTCCGTGGGTGTGCGGCCATCCCTTAGGGGCCAAGTCTGCCTGGGAACTCGCCCACCAGGGTTTCCAGCTTTCACCTGAGGGTCTCGGCGCACGTGCGGCGGATCCTCCCACCCCCCCGGGGGGCGGGGTCGCGCTCGGAGCCAATGCGGGCTGGGGAGGTGGAGGGGCAGGGAAGCTTCCAGAGGCAGGTAGGGAGGAGGTTATAAAGGGGAGCACCGCCACGCCGACGCCGGAGCCATGCAGTCCAAGCGGGAGTACGAGGTGGGTGTCTGCCAGCGAGGGGCGAGGGCGAGCACCCCCTGTGCGGGGAGCGGGGCCCCCGGAGCACCGGGCGAGGTGGGGGCGGGCGCGGCCATCCGCCATTCCGACCCGGCCTTTCCCCGCCAGCTGTGGTGTGAGAGGGTGAACCCGGAGAACAAGGCGGCGCTGGAGGCCTGGGTCAGGGAGACGGGTGTCCGCCTGGTGCAAGTGAACGGGCAGAGGAAGTACGGCGGGCCGCCCCCAGGTACGCCTGCTGGGGCGCCGCGCCGGCCCGGACCAGCCCCTTGGCCTTGGGGGAGGCGGCCGCTCCGAGTCTCCGTAATCAGAAGCCCCAACTCCCCGCTCACCCCTCCCCCAGCAGGCGCGCCCGCCCCCTCGAAGGTCCAAGGAGCCAGTGGAAGGTGCGCTTCCTCTGTGCCAGCCCCATTTTAATTTAATCACCCAATTAAGCCAACGACTCGGGGCACGGTGGTTGTACCCATTTCCCAGATGCGCGCTCACATGATATCCCTCCTTCCCCCCCCCCCCCCGCCCCGGATTCCTGGGCCCAAACCCGGGACATCCCGGTGGGTGACGGTGCCTCCCCCACCCTGCCCCCTCCCCCAGGCTGGGTGGGCAGCCCGCCGCCGCCGGGCTCGGAGGTGTTCATCGGCCGGCTGCCCCAGGACGTGTACGAGCACCAGCTGATCCCGCTGTTCCAGCGCGCCGGCCGCCTCTACGAGTTCCGCCTGATGATGACCTTCAGCGGCCTGAACCGCGGCTTCGCCTACGCCCGCTACTGCTCGCGGCGCGGCGCCCAGGCCGCCATCGCCGCGCTGCACAACCACCCGCTGCGGCCCGCCTGCCCGCTGCTCGTGTGCCTCAGCACCGAGAAGTGCGAGCTGAGCGTGGACGGGCTGCCGCGCGCCCTGACCCGCCGCGCGCTGCTGCTGGCGCTGCAGCCGCTGGGGCCGGGCCTCCAGGAGGCGCTGCTGCTGCCCAGCCCCGGCCTGGCGCTCACGCAGATGGCGCTGCTCAAGTTCAGCTCGCACCGCGCGGCGGCCATGGCCAAGAAGGCGCTGATGGAAGGTAGGGGTAAGAGGCTGCTGGGGGCCGCTGGTTGGAGCAACGGTATTCTGCCAGGAACTTGACCTCTCCACTTGTCCGTAGGGCCGGCAAAGTAGAAAGATCTTACGGTCAAGAATGCCCGAATTCGCATCTTTATACTATTTATTTGAACTCAGCTTTTAACATTTCCAATGGTACTATACCACTTACCTAAACTCAGTTGCCACCCTCAACATTCCAATGAAAACTATAGTGCTCTCTCTCTAGGGAAGATTGTCTTCAAAGAAGGGGACTTGCCCGAGGCAGTCCTGCTGAGACTGCCGTCTGTTGTGAGAACTAAGCTGAATACTTAGCACATTCCTTGATTCTTGGCAAGTATTCACAGCAAAGGTTAGTTTTATGGTGATGCAGTGAAGACAGCATCAGATCAGTACTCTCCAAGAAAATTTAGAAGGTAGCTGTTACTGCACCCTTTTTACAAACACAATGAAGCCTTATTTATTTTGCCAGAGGTCACACCACCTGGTAATTGTGTGACTTGATTCCTAAGGACTCACAGGGGCTGGGGCTTGGGTGCAGGGCTAAGACCTGTCCTTGTCTCTGCCTCTCTCCTACAGGGCAGTCCCGCCTCTGTGGAGAGCAGGTGACTGTGGAGTGGCTCAAGCCAGACGTGAAGCAGCGACTTCGCCAGCAGCTTGCCGGGCCCTCGCTGAAGTGCTTACAGCCAGAAGGCAGCGGGTTGGCCCTCGCTAGGGACAAGCTAGCGTCCCAAGGGGCTCGAACTGCCTTGCAGCTGCTGTGCCAACGGATGAAGCTGGGTAGCCCAGTGTTCCTCACCAAGTGCCTGGGCACGGGCCCTGCTGGCTGGCACCACTTCTGGTACCAGGTGGTGATCCCTGGGCATCCAGTGCCCTTCAGTGGCTTCATCTGGGTTGTGCTCAACATGGGAGGGCAGGATGGGCACGAGGTGGCCAAGGATGCCGTGTCTGCACGGCTGCTGGAGACGCTGAGTGAGTCTGGGGCCAGCCTCTTCTCCTCGGCGGGGGCAGTGAGCGAGCCTGGGGCCAGCGTCCTGTGGCCTGCTGGAGCTGAGGCGGGTACCATGGTGAAGCAGTAACCCCATCCTCTACAGGCTGCCTGAACAAGTAGGCAGAGCCTGTGTCAGTCCCCAACCCAGCAGGTCTGGGCAGCCACCATCTGATCCCCCAAAACGGGAGGAGCATGGGCCCTGCCCTAGTCCTGACACAGCCTCCCAGCTGGGGCACAGCCCCAGCGCGCTCGCTCGGAGACAACTCAGATCTGGCTAAGTTGTAGTGAGGGACCTTGCCCTCTCCCCCACAGCCCAGAGGCCTTTCTCTGTGTGACACACACACACACTGTCTCCTCCCACAGCTTAGTATGACTCTCTTTTTCTTGATTTGTCTTTGATTTTATTTGGGGGATGGCTGAGCCAAAGGGTCAGAAACCTGCCTTTTGTCCCCACCACTTGGCATTTTGGTTCTGGTGTATGTGTACTGTTGGTTTGTTTTTCTATGCTGGTTGTATTTATATTAAAGCCCTGGTTGGTATACACCTGTGTCTGTGCCATCTTGCCCCAGCTGTGGGCTTGTCTCACACCAGTAGAGCGAGCAGCTCTGCCTCCCCACAGCCCTGAGCCTCTCTTTGCCCATCTCCTTGTGCCGTCCAAGTCCAAGAGGGTGTGATAAACTCATAGCCTCTGGGGATCCAGCCCAGGAAGCAAGACTTGACCAGTGAGGACCTGTTTTGAGATCCACCTCATCCCCTCAGTCACTATCATCCTCGCTCTCCTCTTCCTCCTTCTCCTCTTCCTCTTCCCTCAGTCCTGCAAAGAAGTCATCGGTGCTCCAAGCCTTGCTACTCAGTGCCCGAAGGGGCCCTCCCTTTTTTTTGCGCCGACGGTAATCATCCACCACCACAGCCCGCAGCTGGGCCATGTCCCAGAATTTGAGGCACTGGTCATGGCCACTGCTGGCCAGGAAGCGGCCGCAGTGGGAGAGGGCCAGCTGCTCCACGGGCTCCCCGGCATGCTGGCCCACCGTGCCCACCACTCGGTTCGGCAGGATGTTCACAGCCCTGGGCGGAGAGAAGAGAGTGTTGGGTTTGGGCTGGTTGGGCCTACCCTTCCTGAGCCCTGTGCCCCTAAGGGCCCAGCTTCTCTCACCTGATGACTCCATCCGTGGACCCCGTGCACAGCAGACTGTCAGTGACCGGAACCATGCAATCAATGGACTCGGCTCTCAGGGCAAAGCGGTCGCTTGTGGCCCCAAAGCCATTCCAGTTGAAGAGATAGATGGTGCCTTCACTGGAGCCACAGGCCACCTTCCTCCCACACTGCAGGGAGACCGGATAAGCCATGTTTGTAGAGCTATGTCAGATCAAGTCCCTGCCCCCCTCCCTCCCCAACCCGCCATACCCCGCTGTACTTTCATGATTGTGACCGAGGTCAGGTCTCCAGACTGAGGTTCTGAAAGCAGCTCAAACCGGCGTCGCTTAATATTGAAGACACCAAGGCAGCCGTCTCCACTACAGAGGAAGCAGAGTAGCCGGCTCGGCCAGTGGCTCCCAGTGAGGGAGACGTTTAGCTCGGAAGGCAGCGTTGAGGACGTACCTGGCTGTCAGCAGCAGCTTCTTGGCTGGGTCCAGAGCCATGTCAGCAATGTACTCCTCGTGTTGCCGCATGTCCATTAAGGGGCCTTCCTTCCGCTGGTCCCAGAGCCGAATGCCACCGGTGTCATCCCCGGTGGCCAGAACATTCATATCCACTAGCAGCAGACTGTTGATAGGGGCGCTAGACACAGATGCAGTTGTTCTTAGGGCATCTTTGTCCAGGACGGAGCTACACGCCCTTACCCCCGCCTCCACACATTCGGCTCCCCTTACCCATGAGCCTTGGAAATGCGTCTTTCCAGTCGGCCCTGCTCCACATCGAGAACGTGAATGGCTTTGTCCTTGGAGACCGTAACAAGTTCTGGGGTGGGGGGGGAAGGTGCCCAGGTCATGGTATTGCTCACTGCACCCCTCTCACCTTCACACCGCTGCCTGCCTTCCCTGATACTCACTCTGCCCATCTTCAGAGAAGGTCACGGCTCGGCAGGACTTGAGGTGGTGACCAGAGGACCAGAGCTCCTTGGTTTCTCCCTCTTGACAGGAGTAGGAAAAGCTGGAGAGAGATGGAGAGTGAGTGACCCCAGACCCTGCCTGGGATGCACGGAGTGTACCAACTAGTCAACCTTCCACCTACCTAGGAGTTCCTGCTCGTACACCACCTACCAAGGAGCTTCCCGTCCCATTGTCAATGAGCTTCAAATATTTGGAAGTCTTTTCTCATTTGATAGACATTTGCTTGCAAATTCATTGTGACATCACCCCATCACTCTTAAATCATCCTTGCAAGCCCCAGCCTGGGGACAGTTTGGGTATGGACCACTCTGAAGGCCCAGAAATATTTGTTAAATTAATGACAGAAGGGCAGCCCCAGAAGTTGGAAATGTAAAAATTAATAAACAGGGATCTTGTACTCCAGTTCTGTCGCTAGAGATCCAAAATTAATTCTGGCACATTGTGACTACAAAGAGCTACGATCAAAATGCAGGTGGAACAGAGAAGCAACAGCCTTAAACTCAGCAAGGCAAGCACCTGTGCAGAGTATCCTCCGAGCAGACCCTCCAAAGCAGCCCAGTGAATTAAGTGCCTCATTGTGAGTTCCGAGTGGGCAGACTGGGTCTACTTAATTGCTCTATCCCAGTGCCTAGCATGAAAAGGCTGCTTGATAAACACTTTTTTTTTTTTTCAGTAAATGAGACAAGCATTCAAATAACTATACAAACTTATGTTTGACTACAAACCATTATGAAGTTTATGAGGAAAAGACATCTGGTGCCAAGACAGCACCTAATAAATAATCTAATTTAGTCAGGAGCTGGGGAAAGAGTGAAGACATGCTGAGAACTTGGAGATAAGAAGGACAAGCGAGGGGAAAGGAGCTGAGGCTTCCAGATACATTAGAAAGGTAGGGATGAATGAGCACAGAAAGCAAAGGGGAAAGCGAGCAAGGGCCAGAGGGTCAATCCGTTTAGACTTAATCCTAAAAGCAAAGGTAAATTATTGAAGGGTTTTAATCAGGGGTGAGGGGGTCGGATTTGTGTTTTCAAAAGATCAATTATAGCAAAGCGCAACAGAAGGAGAGGGACCTGTTGGGCTTGTTTCGGGCTCAGTATAATCATCTGGTGGGAAATGGGGTCCTGAAAGCCTTCTTATCCTGCTGCTTACTGTCTCCGGACTCGGTCACATGACAGCCATTTCATCTTTCAGTTCTTTTTAAGAGATTTGTGTGCTCACTTGTTTAAAGCCGGCTGTTAATGAACGAATCAGACCAGATGAGCCTTGCCAGTTTTCTCTCCCAACACCCAACTCCACCCCAGGGAGGCATCCTGCCCCGCCCCGCCCCGCCCCGCGCTCACCACGGCCCGACCGGCGCGCACTCACACGAACACGTCCCCGTCCACGTCCCCCGCCGCCAGGAGCTCGCGGGACGGGTGGAACGCCAGCCCACTAGCCGGCGCTTCCAGAACGATGTCCTCAGGGGTGTCCCGGACCCGCGCCGGGGCTTCCGCGGAGTCGGAGTCCTCCTCGTCGCTCCTATCCTCCGTGGCCCTCTCCTCGCACGTGGGATCCATGCACCGGAGGGTTCCGGGCCGCGTTATCAGTGGATCAGCGGGCCCAAGCCCCGGTCACCAGGCCGGCGTGAGCAGCCCCGTGCACCGCTTCCGCTTGGAGGGGCGGGACCGGAAGTGGCGCCGGGCGTCTCCGTAACCAGGAAAAGGCGGGTCTCCGCAGCTGGGGTGGGCGGGGCGGACTCTAGGGGCCAGGCCCCTGAGGTTCTTAACGTTCCTCTGTTGACATCACTGCTACCTAGACCAGCTAGATGGCCGAAGACCATCAATCTCCTCTTTATTCGCATTTCTCCTTTCCCCTTATCCTGACAACCCCCCTGTCAACTTAAGAAACATGCAAATTTATAGAGAATTTTTTAGTTTATTTGAGCCAAACTGAGGAAATACAAAGGGAAGCAAGATATCAACTCCTCTAAGAATAACAATTTTGCAGCTTCTTTTATGCACTTGAAATTAAGGAGGTCACCCAGTGCTATTTCCTCCTCACTCCAGTGAACAGAGGCTCTCTCCCAGGCCCTTTCCTGGGCTCCCTGTTGTCACACTCCTGTGGGCCTGAGCTTGACCAGGGCCCACCTCCTTGGAGATGTTCAGGAGACTAGTGCTGTTTCTTCCCAGCAAGCCTAGAATCACCCCAGGAACAAACCAAACTCGGGCAAACTTGGTGCAGGTCTGGGAGCACCCTGACCTGGGCCCCTGGAACTGAGTCAGTGTGCCACCTCCCCTGAAGTCATTGTGTCATTCAGCCCGAATGGGACCCAGGGCAGAGGGGACTGGGAAAGTCGGGGTGAGAGGAAGCAGATGAGAGAGCCAGGGAAGCAGTGATGTGTGCTTGAAATAAAAATTCCCAGGAAAAATTGCATAAAAGATTTTTGTTCCCACAAGTGATTCTCCTCAGATGCCTTCACCTAGCACTTAGCTGTGCAAACTTTGGGATTGGACTAACAGCCCATTGGGCTCACCCTAATTCCCAGGGAATCTCTGCCCTCAGAGTAGGGCCCCCCAAATGGGCCTGAATGAGTCTGACATTTGAGACCAACCATCTATCACTTGTCCATTCTCCTCTGGGCACCTAGCTAGTAAATATCCTTATTGTCGAGATATCTAGAACCATAGCTCAGGAAAGGATTGAGCTGACTTCTGCATGTGATTTTATACAATAAGTAAAATCAATATCCCTCTTGATGCCTCAGGGGCCCTGAAGTGGAGGGTGCACAATGTAGAAAAGACTGCAGGTTACTAAAAAAAAAAAAAAAAAAAAAAGACTGCAGGTTACCAATTTTAATGGAACCAAGTGATTATACAGTATTTTATATACATTCAGAAACAAACAAACACGTTGCAACTTTTTTGGGAATTGTAGAAAACAAGCCATGGGAAGCAGGTCTTTGTTAAGACTCTTGGAGTTGGAGCTGGATATTAGTATTTTGGTCTTTTCACTTCAACCCTGCAGTAACAGAATAAATGAGTTAGCGTACGATCAAAAAGGAAGAATTCCCCAGTCCCAAAGAGAATGAATAAGGCTGCTCACCCATCAGCTTCCATCTTCTTCCTCTTCTCAATGATCTGCAAGAAGTTATAGTCGATAGTTACACTGCCAGTTTTAGTCCAACTGAGGTTCAAGGCTAATCTCTCTACTTCCATGACTCTCCAACCCCTGGCCTATTCCTGGATTGATGGACCAGTGTCCCAGCTGAAGCCCTCCCACCGGAGAGGCAGTGCCACTTACTGCACTAATCTTTTTCCACTGGCGATCCAGCTCTGCTTTGTCATTGGTTTCTTTGAAGCGCCTGGTTTTCCGCCCTTCAGACATTTTGATGCCATACTGGAATGCAGCCCTAAGGGGGGAAAAGGGCAAATGAGGGAAGACAATAGTTTGCATAGCAGTAGCAAGATGTTCCCAGAGGGCCCTGTGAGCAGAAAAGCTATTTGAAAATGTCTCAGCCAGACTACACCCTCTAACCAGGTGTGAGCTAGCCCACCCATCGCCATCCCTCTTCACCATCCCTCTTCTCACATCCTGGCCGTATTTAGTACCAACTCACTTGGGCAAAGCTTCCTTGTTGTTCATGTACTCGCTGTACTCTTCCTGGGTGTCGAAGTCCCAGCGGCCTAAGGGGCCCTTCTTGTTCCCCTGTTGCAGGACAGAACGGCAGACAGAGAAGGAAGAGATGTCAGTGAAAATGGAATTTTAATCCCTGATTAAGCCAGGCTCTTCCACAGTCCCTGATTTCATCATTTATAAATTCTACCCTAATAAAAAATAAATGCTTGCTATTTACTTATCATGTGCCAGGCATTTTTCTGAATACTAAATACCTATCTTATTTAATTCTTTCAAAAACTCTATTAAGAGAAAATATATTTCTGTTTTCCTGATGATGAAATTGAGGCATATGCAGTAAAATAAATTGATATAGCCACAAAACTAATAAATGGCAGTGACAGGGTTAAGCAAGGTTCCAAGATGGAATTAAACAACAGTCTTAAGCATTTAGTACAGGGAGAACAAGGAAAAAGTAGATGAGATTTCTTTATCATTAATGGGGTGTTTGCTGGGTTTTAAGAGTTGAAAAAAAATTCCAATACTGACTGGCTAGAATAAAATCAGTTATTTTCAAAAGACTGCCCTTTCTTTAGCCCTTTCTTCTTATGCACCAAAGACCCGCTTACTGCCTAGAACAGAAATCAAAGCCTGGCACTTTGTAGGAAATAAAAGAACTATATTTTTGGCTCTACCTCATTTTATTTTTGTACAAACACTTTGAAATAGTTAAGCTGTCCATGACCCCAAAATGCTGCTGCTCCTATTACTGCAGCTGAGAAATGAGGACCAGTTAATGAGACACATATTTTAGGAATGGGGAAAGGGATATGTACTAAAGAGTAACTGCCCAAGAGCCCTCACCCATGCTTCAAACTCCATACCTGGTCCATTTTGCTGTAATCAACCTCCTCGTCACTGTCTACAGCCATGTCATCCATCCTAAAGAGAAGCAACAGTTGAACAGATGGAGCGGACCCAGACTCCAATGCTTTATCTGGACACCTACCCAAGTAAGTGACTATATGCCTAGGAATGACCACACCCTAGACCTCCCACTCAGAGCCTAAGAGAATAGTTCTTCCAAGTAGGAAGTACCCCTGGATCCCAGCAAATCAAATTTCTACCTCACCCAACCCCTCCACCCCAACTTGTTCTTCAATCATCCTGGCCTCCCTTCTTTAACAGAGTGACACGTACGTGGCTGGGTAGCACTCAGCATAACTGTTGGACATGCCGAAGAAATCTCCCAGCTGCTTCTTGTCCTCGGGCTTCTTCAGCGTAAGCTATGTTAAAGAAAATAATTCTGCCTGTAGCAAAAAAGCTTCAGCCAGGAAGGGCCAAGGACTAAAAGCCTCAACATGAAAACTCTAAGGAGATAACTGTGAACTTGGATGGGTTCTCTGAGAAAGGGGAAAGTCACAATGAGTTCATCCTGGTCAAAATTCAACAGAAAAGGGAAGGAATGGGGTTGTGAGAAGCAGGGAAGCAGGTAGCGTTGGAATGAAAAGAGAACAATTCTCTGAAACCCAGAAACATATTGAAATAAAAGATATGATTCAGTGCCTTCCCAGCCAGCAGAACCAGCAAACTTTTCATTGATTGATTTGATCAACTCCTTGGCAGATCCAGGTCCTGGGAAAAGAGAATTCTATTAAGACACTGAAAGGAGAAATTTACAACCTCTTCCCTACAACACACTTCCAACCTGTAGCTTTCATAAAAACATTTTTAAGGAATAGAATCCTTTTTGCTATCAAAATGTTAATCAAATCCCAACTAATAAGGAACTACTATGGTTGAGTTGGGGTAGTGTGCTCAGAATATGCCCATTCAACCTGCTTCACATCATATCAAGACTCCACAGCTGAAGAATTTGTATCTAATAGTGCAAATATGCCCTGTCATTGCCCAGGAAGATGGGGGAACTCCACACTTATCTTCTGTCTACTCCTATAATAGACATTATGTCTTTGAGCCAAGACATTAATCTTTTGAGAGCCCAGAACCAGGAAGTCCCCCAATCCCACCCTTGCCAGCGATGAGCTCTAGGTCCCACCCTTAGCCCAGGGGAAAGCAGGACTGCTGGAGCTAATGCAAGCTACCTTGGACACAACTTACCTTTGTCAACCTCCATGGGCTGGAAAGAAAATAGAAATTGAGGTCAGAATCATTATGAAGGATTCCTACACATCCTCTACCCCCAAGTTTGAATCAATTCCCTATCCTCCGCTGTCCCCATTTCCAGGATGGTTCCTATCCTGGATTAGTTGACCCAGTTGCTTCTATGAAGCCATGAGGTGGCTCTGTAACAGAGAGGTCCTGTACCGGCGGGGCAGGCAGAGACAGGCAGCACTATCACCTGGTACTAGGGGCCACATCTCACCTCATCATCCACTTTTGGCTTCTCAAAGTAGCTGTGCCTCTTCTTCTCTTCCTCTCTCTCTCGGTCCCGTTCCCGCTCCCGGTCTCGTTCTCGCTCCCGCTCTCTGTCCCGGTCTCTTTCTCTATCCCGATCACGCTCCCGTTCCCGATATCTTTCCCTCTCCTTGTCCCGAGGGGTCTTGGTTGTGGAGGGTACATAATCCCCAATGTCTTCGAATATACTAGGAAAACAGACATTAGGTGTCAAAATCACACACAATTCATTCCACTTCCCCTGGCCATTTCTTAGATTCTCACAACAAGGCCTGCCCAAAATGCTGAAGACAAGAAGCACACAGACCCCTCCTCCCTCAGATCAGATGATGGGCTTGGATACATACTTCATGTCGGCCTCAGGGGGCTTCTTCTCTTCCAGTTTCCCTAAAATGTGAAGAATGAGACTCATTAATTCCCACTCAGCCTCACCATGCTCCGCAATTCTCAATGCCCTTTTAAACACCGGTTTAGAAGGCGGGACAATGAACACTACCCATACTCTCCCTTTTCATGCCTCAAAGTTAACCACTGCCTCCTGAGTGAGTCACACCGACAGAAACTGGATGTAAGCATCTACTTGCCAGTGGTCCACTGCTCTCATTTTCCTCTGTTCCCCAGGAGCCCCCCAATGTTCTGGAGACAGAGGCTCCAGGA